TAGGTGTTAGCCTGCCAAGCCTTTGGCTGTGTGTTCGACTTTTGTATTCGGATTGCACAAGCACTGTACACTGACGGATAAGATGAGAAAGTACTTAGCCTTATGGTTAGGTGTTAGCCTGCCAAGCCTTTGGCTGCGTGTTCGACTCTTGTATTCGGATTGCACAAGCACTGTACACTGACGGATAAGATGAGAAAGTATGGGCCTCAGCCCCACCACTCACACCAATATGCAAAAAGAGAATGAATCTTCCACTCACCAATATGCAAAAAGAGAATGAATCTTCCACTAGCACACAGACAGGTGCCCGCCTTGGTAGTGTTGCGGCGAGGCCCTATGACATCTCCTCCCTCGGGCTGGAGACGCCCTTAGGGCCCGGCCACACCACTCTCCAAATGTGAAATAGACGAAAATGTGTTGGGTACATCTGACCATGTTTTAAGGACACGTTCATTCTCATTTTGCACATTTCGAGACGATGCCCTTAGACGGCTGTGGCGCATCGGTCACACGGGTGTAAGAATGCGGTATTCAATTGGGATGGCAATGTTGACCGGGGGCATCCGGGGCCTGGTCGCTCCACACGCACAGCATGGCTACCCCAGTGCCCTGGCCAACATTGCTGCCCCAATTGAATACCCCGTTCTTACACTTGTGTGGGTAGGTATCAGCAGTCTGGCCGCTCCAGTTGTTCACAGCCAGAGGCTGCGCTTACCTAGGTTGTCTTTTGTCGTTTTGTGTCGGTTTCTTTTTCAGGAAATGTCGACGACTTCAAATGCGGTTTGCCAGGGTCTTCTTCGGGGTTTAGGGAATGGTGGCAAGGGTGCAGTCGCGGCTAGGAGACGGACCGGTAGTGCGAGCGGTCGTGCCAGGCTTTGGTGAGTGCACGTCCAGAGGTCCTTTCATTTGGTCGTTTGGCCTTGTGGTGGACGGCAGCCAGTTTCCTTTTTGGGTGGAGGGTTGAGTCTTTTTTTGGTCTTTTGTTGGGGGCTCTTCGGTGGTTCTTTTGTGGGGAACTTGTAGAAGTAGTAAGTAGTGGGGTGCGATCGATCGAGACGACACGACTCAAGTGATTTGGCCCTTTGGCCGCTTGAGTTCCTGAAATCTTTATGGATTTTTTTTTTTTTTCCTCTGAATTATTTGGAACACGTCTAGATTCTGCGAAAGCTCCCCCGTCAACTGCGAGGACCGGGGCTAGGTCCCACTTCGCCGAAACTTGGCCGACGATGGGGCTAGGGCCCACTTCACCGAAACTTGGCCGATACAGAGTCAATCGAATCGTCTTGTCTCAGTTCGCAGCCAGAGGCTGCGCTTACCTCGGTTGCTTTTTGTCGTTTAGTGTCGGTTTCTTTTTCGGGAAATGTCGTGGACTCCAAATGAGGTTTGGCGGGGTGTTTTTGGGCTTTAACGAAAGGTGGGAAGGGTGCCGTCGCAGCTAGGAGACGGACCGGTAGTGCGAGTGGTCGTGGCAGGCTTTGGGGAGTGCACGTCCAGAGGTCGTTTCATTCGGTCGGTCGGGCATGTGTGGGCGGCGGCCAGGTTTCCTTTTCGGGTGGAGGGTTGAGCCTTTCCTTGGGGGCTGTCGGGGGTTCTTTTGGATGTGGACTGGACTGGGGATGGAAATGAGTCGACGAGATGATTTAATGAGTCGATGAGGGTTGATTTTTTTAATTTGTATTTTTTTTAGTTCGTTTCGCTATTTTTGGAGGTCTTTTGGGCTTTTGGAGTGGATTGTGCACTGGAATCGAACTTGCGTCTGGGTGCTTTTTATGGTTTTTGCGCGGGGGTTCGCTTTTTCTTTTTCTTTGCTTTTTCTTTTCTTTGTCTTTGGGTTTCGAACTTGGGTCTAGATCGAATCGAACTTTGGTCTTTCTATGGGTACACCTGGGGGGAAGTCGTAGTGGGGCCCCGTCGACGACTCAAGCGTGAACTTGGTAATGAATTGGGTAAGTGGGATTTGGCCGCTGGAGTTGAATGGGTCTTTGGGTTTCGAACTTGGGTCTAGATTGAATCGAACTTGGGTCTATGGGTTCTGCATTTTTCCTTGGAACATGTTCGCAGCCAGAGGCCGCGCTTACCTCGGTTGTTTTTTGTCGTTTTGTGTCATTTTCTTGTTCGGGAAATGTTGTGAACTCTAATCGAGGTTTGGCGGGGTGGTTTTGGGCTCAGGGAAAGGTGGGAAGGGTGATGTCGCGGCTAGGAGACGGACCGGTAGTGTGAGAGGTCGTGCCAGGCTTTTGGGAGTGCATGTCCAAAGGGTTTTTCATGAGGTCGCTCGGGCGTGCGATGGGCAGCGGCCAGGTTTCCTTTTTGGGCCGAGGGTCGAGGGTTTTTTGGGGGGACGTCGGGGGTTCTGGGGGGTAACGGTCTTGTCTTTCTTGACATACATTGGTCGAGGATGAGTTTCAATCAATTTTTTTTTATATATAGCATCGTTGACGATTCAATGCTGGGTTGCCGTTCCTTGGGTTGATTTTTTTTTTTTTTTTAATTTCGTTTTGTTCTTGTTGTTTGGAGGTGTTCTTAAGGAATGGATTCTGGAGTGGATTCTAACTTGGGTGTGTAACCGAAGAGCATAGCTCAGTGGGTATAGCAATGTGAAGTGTTGAAATACAAACCGGTGTTCGAATCTTTGTGTTGTTTCAAATCGCTTACCTCGGTTGGTTTTTGTCGTTTTGTGTCCTTTTCTTTTTCCGGAAATGTCATGGACTCTGATGGAAGTTTGGCGGGGTGGTTTTGGGCTTTCAAGAAAGGTGGGAAGGGTGCGGTTGTGGCTAGGAGACGGACTGGTAGTATGAGTGGCCGTGGCAGGCTTTGGGGAGTGCGCGTCCAAAGGGTTTTTCATGAGGTCGGTCAGGCGTGCCATGGGCTGCGGCCAGGTTTCCTTTTTGGGCCGAGGGTCGAGGTTTTTTTTGGGGGACGTCGGGGGTTCTGTGGGGTGACAGTCTTGTCTTTCTTGACATACATTGGTCGAGGATGAGTTTCAATTTTTTTTTTTTTTTTTTTTTATAGCATCATTGACGATTCAATGCTGGGTTGCCGTTCCTGGGGTTGATTTTTTTTTTTTTTTTTTTAATTTCGTTTTGTTCTTGTTGTTTGGAGGTGTTCTGGAGGAATGGATTCTGGAGTGGATTCAAACTTCGGTCTGTAACCGAAGAGCATAGCTCAGTGGGTATAGCAATGTGAAGTGTTGAAATACAGACCCGTGTTCGAATCTTTTTGTCGTTTTCTTTTTCGGGAAATGTCGTGGACTCTAATTGAGGTTTGGCGGGGTGGTTTTGGGCTTTAGGAAAAGGTGGGAAGGGTGCGGTCGCGGCTAGGAGACGGACTGGTTGTGTGCCGGCTCAGTTTTTTTTTTCTTTTTTTTTCGCTTTGCTTTATCTTGAAAGGGTCGACGGCCTTGCTTTTTTTTTTTTTTTTTTTTTTTGAAAGGAGCCACGGTCTTGTCTTTCTTGACATACATTGGTCGAGGATTAGTTTCAATCTTTTTTTTTTTTTTTTTTAAATAGCATAGTTGACGATTCAATGCTGGGTTGCCATTCCTTGGGTTGATTTTTTTGTTTTTGTTTTTTTAGTTCGTTTTGCTCTTGTTGTTTGGAGGTGTTCTGGAGGAATGGATTCTAGAGTGGATTCGAACTTGGGTCTGTAACTGAAGAGCGTAGCTCAGTGGGTATAGCAATGTGAAGTGTTGAAATACAGACCAGTATTCGAATCCAGATGATGCAAAACTTCATGACTAGAAGCAAATACAAAAGGCCGCTTCGCTTTTCATTGCGTGGACCATCAACCCCTCTGCCCTGGCTGCTCCCCTGCGCTACGCGCGGTTACAGTACCTAATTTCATTTCTTTTTTGTCTCGATGTTGTGTTGACGCAGTAGAGAAGACGAGTGAAAATCCAGGGATCAAGGGGACCTAGAAGTAAGCGGGCTTGGTTATCTGGCTGTATGCTGCAGAGGGATCATAATGGATACAATATGGGCAGCAAGGAACGCCTGCATTTTTAGAGGAGAAACTATGTCACTCAGCCAACAGCAGGCACGTATCAAAATGAACATAAGACTTATTATACGTGCAGACTCGCTCCGGAAGAACTTCATATGGTTCAGCAAGACATGGGTGAGAGGTAACCGTTTAGCCTCAATAAATCAGGAGGGCAGAATGGTCATTTGCACATGGCTATCAGCCACCCATGACTGACATGGGGATAGTCTGAGCTGGATGTTGTTGGTGAAGGAGGCAGCTGTCTGTGAGTTAAGGTCTTGCTGAATGAAATCTGTTAAATAGGATGGAATATTATGTGGTTTGACGGATCACAAATGGCTGGACGATTTGAGACAGGTTATTTTTCTATCTGGTTCAGCCACCTTTTCTGAGCTTCAAGTTTACTTTTGGGAAGTATTTGGCTCTTTTTTGAGAGGTTGGTGGTTTGGGACGCTGGACCCGGTTTCCAGCAAAGTGTTTTTCTTTGGTAACCCCGGGTAGAATTGTGAGGTCCCAGGCCTCGACCACTATTATCTTTTCGGAATATAATGTGACAACTTCCCAAAAAAAAAAGAAAAAAAAAAAGGAGGCGGGCGTGGGTCTCTCCCTTGGCAATTTTGGTACTTGTCATGTCTGTCGAGAGATGCTTTTCTCTTCAGGTCATACTTTTCTCCCTCCCGCCAGCCGTCCACTGTATATAGGAAGAGCGGACGAAACAAGGGAGATTGGGAAAGGAGGGACTGCGCGAAAAAAAGAAGTGACAGCACAAAAGAATATGCGACGAAAAGAAGGGACAGCGATTAAGAGGTTGTGACGAAATGAAGGCGAATGGAGGTGGTATGATGTTGGCAAGAGGAAGGGAGGGAGGGTGAGTATGTCTACGATATAGCAGTAGCTGTAGCGGGTAGGACAGAACCTGTTATGTGGATAGCACGGGTGCATAACGAGCGTGTTGTACAATTACATACAGTATTTGACGTGAAGCAGGGAAGTTCAGTTATCGGCCTCGCTAGGTGTAGCCAACAGACTGGAGGGAGTGAAGAAGAAGAAGGACGAGTAGCGCGGATGCTTCGTTGCGTGCAGGTAAGCATGCGACGATCTGGTCCCTCTGAAGGGGAATTCTGAATTTAGTCTTCGAATTCAGGGCGTTATCATTGTCCTTCTTCAATGTCCCTTCTCCTTCTATTTCCTCCCCTCTTCGTAGAAGAAATTCTATTTAACCACGCGCCCTTGGAGGGCGGCCGGCTTTCCTCCTCTGCTCATCTTCTGTTCTTGCGTTATGTTCCTCGCTTTCTGTATGTCCTCTCCACGGCCCGGAAGTTCCCCCTCTCTCTCTTCCCTTCTCTCTGCTCAACCTCTCGCCCGAAGTGGCATTTGTTTGACACTCGTTTGGCATTCGTTTGACATTCGTTTGGCGGCGTGTGATTGCTTGTTTTTCTTTCCGATTTCATTCGCGGGCTTGTGCTTCGTCCTTTACCTTGGCGCCGTTGTTCTCTGTCGTCTGCCGTCCTCCCTTCCCCAACCTGCGTTCATAAAACGAATACCAGTGGGGGAAGGAAATGATTTAATGTTTCTTTTTTTATGGATTAATTTCATGTTCGCTAACGCGTTATAACTACACGAGCTGTTCCTTGAATAGACTTTGTGCGGGGTGAGTATTCGTGAGCAGGAGGCCATAAAATGGCGCTCAGGGAGAGATCATCGGCACCGCTTTAGCTGATCCGGAGAGCGTTCAACTGTTTCCGCATCTTGTACCTGCTCGCACTGTCTGGTACTTCTGCCCCGAAAAACATGCTGACGAGGCATTCTCCGTATGGGGACTGGGTGGCAGTGGCTGCCACATTTATGCATTTACCGGAATGTTAAAAGAAAGGACCGTCGATGGCAAAAGTGTCCATCCGAAGTGTTGCCCTCCAGCTTCCGTGCACTTGCTCTCATGTACCACGTACACACAGGCAAGCAGCCAGATTGCCACACTTCCGCACGGGCGCTCCCTTTCCCGCGGTCGCAGAGTCACGCACGCACACATACAAACAAGGTCGCGCAGACAGACACCCACCCACGGGCACAGGCAGTAACACACGCAGACACACTCACACACACGAACACGTGCGGGGGGAAGCAAACGAGTGCACAGACACGCACATCTGTGTGTGTGTGTGTGTGTGTGTGTGTGTGTGTGTGTGTGTGTGTGTGTGTGTGTGCGTGTGTGTGTGTGTGTGTGTGTGAGAGAGAGAGAGAGAGAGAGAGAGAGAGAGANGAGAGAGAGAGAGAGAGAGAGAGAGAGAGAGAGAGAGAGCTGATATTTTAAACTGGTTATCGTTGCCAGTCCGTTTCCACCTGTAAACCTATTCTTTGGTTGTTAAATTCCTGTTTATCGCTATCGCTGTCGCTGTGCTTTGATTTGAGTTTCAATTTGGCTCTGAAACAACTGAGCTTGGGAGACAATGCAATTTACTGCCGTCCTTGTTTGCCTGCGCTGTTTGTGATTTCATTGCAGTTCTCTGTCGGGGGCAAGATTAATCGCTTTTAGGGGAGTGGAAACGACTGAGGGATTCCCCAGAGTTTTCTGCACCATCGAAATGCAAACCAAGTTTCTGCTTTAAGGTCGAACGAAGAGAAGTGGAAGACGTGCCTTTTTCCTTCTTAGCCGATGACAACGAGCGACAGCGACGTTACGATTGGAGAGTATTGATGAAAGGTTCTCCTGGAAGAGAGGAAGTGGTGTTGGGAGGTGAAGGAAAGGGAGGCCGATGGACTGAAGGCGGACAAGGTTAGTGGCGCAAGAGCAAAGCCGTACAACTGGTTCGCAGCCAATGGTATAATAGACCTGCTGATGGATGACTACGAGGATGGGAAGGGTAGGGAAGAATGATTAGAGATGACGCTTCGTGGCCAGCTCACTAGAGGATTGCAGGAAAGCTTCACTCGAAAGCAGAAGGACGGTGAGTGATGGGGATTATTTGCACAGTGCAAAGTCATGCGGAGAAAGGGTGCAAGGGAGGAGCCAAAACAGCTTGCGTAGCTGAGGATTCTTAGGTCGATAGTACTTTTGCACATACTGGACACCCTTAGTCGAGGGCGGAAACGGAGTAAAGCCGAAGGAGAGGGCGAATGGACGCACAAATTGTACGGAGATTGATCTCGTTACTTCCGGCTGAGCGTTTATGGTGTACAGTTCTCTGTTCTATAACGGTGCCATCTTTGAGAAAGAGGTGTATTCTCTGTTGTACGTGATTTCCCACTGTTTGGGCTGTGAGGGAGTGATCGATCTCGCTTCCTGCTTACCCGCTATTTTGACTGATCGTTTTCCTTCCTTCTCGAAGTCGGATGCTCCGCAAATCTGGCGCGTCTATTTAACAGGTTCTCTCTTGTGTCTATCCTATTCCACCGATCATAAGGCACTCTCTGGCAGGTCATGCCCATGATGCGGGTACGCTGTGTTCGGGAGAAATCGGGACGAGGACTTTCGCTCAGCAGCACAGGGTGCGCACACAAGCGTTGATCCTCCAACTATCACACTGGCTTACCTCAAGACCAGCGTGCTGTTTTACAGAGCGACATCCCTTTTCCGTAGCATACGCAAGTGTGACCTCACTGCCGGGCAGTGCCGGCCAGGTTTGAGCGCGCACATGCACGCTCCCTGTTAACGGTGATATTGTAAGATGAGCTTCGCCTACATTTGCCTAACAGAAGCAGTCGCAGGGAAGATCCTAGTGGACTTTGCTTGATTGCTGGAAGCTCGGATCGATAGGTTGTTGGGGTGGAGTCGTTGAAATCTCTCGCCGGGCGGAGCGGCTACACTACTTGGAGTGCGAATCTAGGAAGGGGGCGAAGCGCAGGAGACGGAACCCCTAGCCCGGCATGACATGTATCCGTATCATTGAAGCTGTCCAAAAAGGCGTCTGGCGCCGGGCTCGGGTTGTGGAAGTAGAATCACGTGCGCGATACGTCGATGCGCGCGTGGATAGATTAGTGGAAGGGGCAGGTAGAGTGTCGCCGTTTGTTTAGCGCTCCATCTTTTCGAACAGGCACAGAAGCGCATGATCTGGGTGACATGGCGCCTTCCAACTCGAAGCCAGTCATAGGGATCGACCTGGGTACGTCGTTCTGCTGTGTGGCAGTTTTCCAAAATGGTGCAGTGGACATCGTGCCAAACGCTCAGGGCCTTCGCACTACGCCGTCCTCCATCGCTTTCACGGAGAGGCAAACCTTCGTTGGTCAAGCGGCCGTGAGGAATGGGGCGCGTTTCCCCAACCAGTGCGCCTACGAGGTGAAGCGGCTGATGGGGAGGTCTGTTCTTCATCCCAAGGTCCAGGAGTACAAGAGAATGTGGCCGTTCAAAGTCATTGCGGGAGAGCGAGACATGGCCGTTGTATGGTTCGAAAAGGTCCCCGACGGCAAGCAAACGTTCTCACCCCCGGAAATTTCCTCCCTTCTGCTGAAGGACATGAAAAAAATTGCCGAGGCCTTTGCGAATTCCGAGATCGAGGATGCCGTGATAACTGTTCCCGCACACTTCAGTGATAGTCAGCGGGAGGCCACGAGAGAGGCGGGGCGTAAAGCCGGTTTGAACGTGCTGCAGCTGCTGAATGAACCGACGGCAGCAGCAGTAGCGTATATTCATCAGAAGAAACTGGAGGAGTCTGATGGAAGGAACATCATGGTCTTCGATCTGGGAGGGGGTACGCTCGACGTCTCGATCATTGCCCTGGAGAGCGGCGGCCTACTTGTGCGCGAGGTGAAAGGCGATTCTGATCTTGGAGGTGCGGACTTCGACAGCAACCTCATGAGGCATGTTGCGGAGCAGTACAAGCGTGACATGGGTCGGGATCTTCTCGCCGACCAGAAGCTATTGCCGCGAGTGAGGGAGACAATCTGTTTGGCGAAGCACACTTTGTCCACCCAAGACGAGGCGGACATTGAGTTATACTCCGGAGATATAGATCTGAACCAGTCTATACTCCGGGCTAAGTTTGAACAGATTAACGAGGAGCTGTTCCGAAAATGCATGGCGATCGTTGAAGAAGCGCTTCGAGGAGCCAACATGACTAGTCACGACATCTCGGACGTGATTTTAGCCGGGGGGTCAACGCGGATCCAAAAGGTCCGAGAGATGCTCAAGCAGTTCTTTGCCAGGCCTCCGTTATCAGTTGTTCATCCGGATGAAGTGGTGGCGTATGGTGCGGCCGTGCAGGCAGCTTTTCTCTCGCCCCTTGTGATGGGAAACCATAAGCCTAAGGTGCCTGTGTGCGATGTCAACCCGAAAAGCATCGGTGTGATGGTCAGTCCTGGGGAAATGATTGTCGTGATCCCCAAGAACTCTCGCCTTCCGGCAACCGGGGAGCTTGATGTTAAGTGCGCATACGATTACCAGGAGGCGATCGAGTTCAAGTTGTACCAAGGGGAGAGGGCCTTGTGCCGTGATAACCAGTACCTGGGGAACTTTATGTTGACGGGATTTAAACCGGTGGCTGCCGATGGGAAACCAGTGGCGAAGCTTGTTCTGAACGTCGACAGCGACGGCATCATTCGTGCATCCGCGGTAGCCGTAGCCAACAATCATGAGGATGGGAGAACAGAAGAGGTGGGTGTTATCATCGGGAGGTTCAGCAAGGATGGGGCGGACGCTACAGTCGACGAAGGGCGGGATTGGAGAGCGGTGCAAGAAGAAGACGAGGAGATGAAGGCAGCGTTCAAGGCGCGGCGGGACCTCCTGTATCTCGCATGGGAACTTCGGGATAAAAGATTTGCGAAGATGTCCAAGCCGGAGAGATCGCTTGTAATCGAGTTTCTGGAGTGGTTACAGTCTGAGGAGAGTTACGCGTCGAAACGGATCTACGAGGACAAGACCAAAAAACTCCGTGCAATTCAAACCCGCTTCGGCGGCGGAAGTGGTCGGTGCTCTTTCGTTGTTTGAGCTCTTCAGAACAGCAAAGGGAACCTCTCCATCCTTCTCCATCGTCCTTCATGCCTCCTATGCTTCCCATGCTCTCCAGAATTGTGGAGAGAGCCTCTCTCCCGGCGCAGTCATCACAAACAGAACCCGTCTACCTCAACGTTGAACATTCATGGGGGGATGGGGTCATCATCCCATGAATTATGCGCGCGGTCTCGACGGGGGTTCTGCTAAAGGCTCGACAATTCTTTACAGAGTATGCTGAGTTTAGCATGATATCCAGATACTTAGCACAGGTGCGGAGTAACTCGAGTACCGAAGCGTCAAGATCGGAGCTACGTGGGTGCCAACTGCGAAAGCGGAAAGCGCTTCACTTGAAATGCCCTGCTTACAGCCTAGCGCAGAGAACGCTTCCCATTGGCACACTGGGAAGGTGCGACTTTTCCTGGTTACAGTCCGGTCTGCGGCTTCGGGGGCTCGGCGATTATGAAGGGACGATTGGGGATCTGCACGGGGAGGAAATTCGAGGAGGCTTTGCGGGGTGTGCCTTTTTCCAGCAGATGCAAACAGACGCTAAGATTCAATAGGAGCACAATAAAAACTGAACCGGACACATTTATTGTTAAGAGGGAACATCTGGAATGCACAGCAGTAAACACCCACCATAGACATAGCTGTACATGAAAGCTATGAAACATCCATCTCTCTCTCTCTCTCTCTCTCTCTCTCTCTCTCTCTCTCTCTCTCTCTCTCTCTCTCNTCTCTCTCTCTCTCTCTCTCTCTCTCTCTCTCTCTCTCTCTCTCTCTCTCTCTCTCTCTCTCTCTCTGTGCGTGTGTGTGCGTGTGTGTGTGTGTGTGTGTGTGTGTGTGTGTGTGCGTGTCTTACGCACTCCTGCCCACACAACTTCCGACCTCCTTCCGCCTTTCATCGGCCCCTGTCTGCAACCGCCTCCGAAACTAAACCCATCGGTTGATGTTTGGCCACGTCTCCGTTCTCCATTGTCCTCATCTTAATCCGAGGCAATCTTTCTCTATAACCGTTCACTGCACTGTAACGAACTTTACACAATGCCCGTGACCACAATGGGTACTGTATGCGAAACTCGTTACGTACTGACCTCTCTCTCTCTCTCTCTCTCTCTCTCTCTCTCTCTCTCTCTCTCTCTCTCTCTCTCTCTCTCTCTCTCTCTCTCTCTATGTGTGTGTGTGTGTGTGTGTGTGTGTGTGTGTGTGTGTGACACACACACAAAAGAAAAGTGTGCCTACGTGTTTGTGTGCCTGTGTGTGCGTATGTCTTTATGTCTGTGTGTGTGTGTGCAAAGCCCGCTCGTGTGGATGTGCGTGTGTGTAATTGATTGCTTTTTTTTTGTTATTGATTGATTGATTGGCTGATGGATTGATTGGTTGGTTGATTGGTTGGTTGGTTGATTGATTGATTGATTCACTATTGATTGCTTGAGCTTGATTGTTTGATTTTATTCCTTTTTTTGGAGAGCGGTGGGTGTGTCGAGCCCCTTTCTTTTTCTCTTCATTCTCTTCTATGGGGGGGAGAGGGAGCTTGCCTCATCCCCCGTGCATGGGTCCCATCGTCAGGGTCCCTTCAGAAGGCCCCCTTTTCTGCGCCTAATAAGGCGGTAGGGGCGCTGTGAACGGCTGTTCATTATAGGCTGAACGCCGTTGAAGGATCAGTTCAGGGTTCACGGGGTAGGCACTGGTATAGTTCCAGGTTGATGACAGAGATAAGGGTGCGAGGGGAAGAGTCCAGAGATATGTACTGAGTTACGTGGGAAGAAAGGGAGCATCTGGGGTCTAGTCAAGGGGCCTGTGGAGAAACAGATACATGCCTAGGGACATAAGCCAGGGCTCCTCCCAATATGTTTCATTCAGGACTTAGTAGGGCAGCCTGCTTAGCGCTGGTGCCTGTAACCTCTGGACGGTCAAATCATCGCGATCAGAGTTCTTAGACGGGTGATATCCTTAGTTGTAGACACTGAGGTAGGCCTGGGAAGTTCGTGCGCCCCATGGAGAGTAGATGAAAGAAAGGTGGGCATAGTCTTGTGAGAATTGAGGTCCAGGGGGGTAAAACTGGAGCGGGGCTCGGTGTGGGGTAAGAAAGGGGAAATCCTCCACAGTCTGCAGAATTCCCTAGCCGATAAGCTCACTGTTTCATTGGACACCCTTCTACTTTTACAAGTTGTGTGAGCAGTGCGTCTGACTGCATGTGACGACTCTATATGTTGCTATCTTGTCTGGTGGATCGATCGGAGAGGAGAACGCAAGTGAGGAGATCCCTGCCTTTTATGGGTGCTTGTAAAGTGTCAAGGAATAAACTGTTCTTGTTGTTCTTGGCTGAAGCTGAATAATGGTGAGTACAAAATGCACAGCATCGAAATTGCTGTAAATATGGCCCTGGGCCCCGGTATCTGGAATTGCTCTAAATATTTTCATAGGAGACCCTGGACCCGCTTCCCAGCACGTGCTGCTTCCCACGAATAGATTAGAGCATTTTTCCCCCCCCCCTTCCTTCCCCCCCCAAGAAAAGAAGGTAAAAACAAGGGGCAATTTAAAAAATCGCGCGTTCTTGAAGTTTGGCAGCTGAAATGTTATACATTTCTGCTGCCAAAAACAATGATTCAGTTCTGTAGAAGGGCGAGGGAGTAGAACTCTAGTTGAACCAGGACCTATGTAGCACCCGCAGTCATGACCGCGGCCCGCTGACCACATGCGGTGAGGATCATGGCCCGCTGACCACATGCAGTGCGGATCATGGCCTCGGCCAGCCGCAGGAACCAAGTGCGGCCGCAAACCCCTGACATTTTTAATTCCTAGGATAATAGGCGAAAAAGGGGGGGGGGGAATGGGGTTGTAGGGTTTGAAAAACACCACATCCCCATATATATATATATATATATATATATATATATATATATATATATATATATATATATATATATATATATTTAATGTTTTTTGTAATTTATTAAAAAGAGGAAATGAAACAAACAAGTATTAAATCCAAAAGAAACATAATTAAAAAAGAGGGAACTTTTGTTTTTTTCATTTTTTTCTGATTGCTGGTAAGATAATCATGGTGCACGTATTTCTTTGATTCTTTTTTTTTACCTACATATGCAAATATAAAAGGAACAAAAAAAAAAGAGAATAATGAAAAGAAAAACTAAAGCCCTTTTCTTCTTTTTTTTCCCTTGTTTTCCATTTTTGATAGACACACATACTGATTGATTGATTGATTGACTATGATTGGTTGATTGATTGATTGATTTATTGATTGATTGATCAGAAAAAAGAAAAAAAAAATGAACGTGCTAGTTTGTGTGTGTGTGTGTTACGTTTTTATTGCGTGGCTCCTGCGACAAAGTCGCACCATGTTGCGTCATGATTCGTAGCAAAAGACCAACATCACAAGGAGAGCTTATACCGTTTCCAAAAATGCAAAGTACAAAAGGCAGATAGCGAAAAAGCCAAAGGTCAACATTCGATCCTCAGATACGTTCATAGACTCAGGACGAATAGTTCACAAAGCATCCTACTACATACTCATGTCTAACACAACCATAAATGGGAAGTAACCGTGTAGACTGGCATAGGGATCTTTATCAGGGAGATCCAATCATCGCATCACACAAACTCAAAAACCATGTGTCCGTGATAACAATGAAAACATGAGAGACTCATAATACGAAGAGATGGAAGGAAACTCAATGCTCAGCCTGTCAAAACTCATAGTCGAACCGTTCTCGAACTTGCAAAAACAACCCACAAACCTTTCACGGACAAATAGATGCGAAGGTGTTCATTACTCATCAGCACCATGTAAACGACCAACCCGTCGAAGCGTATACACGGCAGATCCATACATGTCCTCGTGCCAAAAAGATACTATGGTTACTCAGCATGCTACCCAACTCCTCATTGGGTATCTTTAAGCATGAGATGCACTTAGATCGAATTGATGACCTATGGGACCCTGAGATACCGAACCTTCTCAAGCCGAGACACAGCAGGGTCCCGACCCATCACCCTGCGATAGACACCCCATGTCCCCACACTACCCCGTACAATCCAACCCCCGTACACCCTCACCTACCCAACTCCGTAATGCAGACAGATGCCCAACGTACCCCCCTCATCCAGACTCGCATTCCTTCATTGGTTCAAAGCAGATCCTACTGTGACTAAAACTCATCACCCGTACCGCAGCTACGACAATCATCAAAGGCATGGTCCGAAAAGAATCCATAACACGGATGAAGACTTAACAACAGACATGCCATCCGCTGCCCAGTACCCATCCGATTAAGAACCTCGCCAAGGGAGGAGGAACGCAATCATGAAGAGGAAGATCCCGTGGAGCCAAAGCCACACAGCCGCCGTAACCACACTAATGATGCATGAAGCAGGGAGAGCAGAAAGGACCGCCGGGCAGCTACTGGTTTGTTGGGGGCATGCTGACCAGATTGCAAAAAGAAACATGCAAGTGGAAGTGGTAGAGAAGAGTGTGGAGATCAGGAGGTGGGCGCACATGAAACCGGATGGTGAAAGAGAATGACGCAATGGAACAGCCATGGTGCCCATTACGCGGATCGCTCCTGCCTTAAGGAAATGCTAAACCACCACTCCCTGTCCCTCCAGATCACTCCACGTTGTTCAGACTCAAAGAATCGAAACCCTAATGCACTAAGGCGCCATAGCTTAATCCGTACTAATAGCTCCGGGGATCGAACACTACACTTTGCACCATCTGGTCTGCGGGAATGCAGTAGTCAGATTCCGGCATTCGGTGAGGCACCGTGACGATCGGAACGTCTGGTGGTCTAGAAACGACAAGAAGGCAAGGTACGCCAAAATAGCCAATACAAAGATAAACGTTATGTGAACCGCGTGCAAAAGCTCCATCTCGACGAATACCCACGATCTTGCCGCTAGAACTCCAATGGTGAAGCATATACAAGAACCTACAACAGGTAATCAATAACAAATTACAACAAAAACCAACCGGGAGACAATTGAAGAAACATAACAGGGACACAAATAGCGGTGAGTATCCACACAGTATCATTCCGTAGCGAATAAGCATAAGTGGAGTAAAAAATAAGGTATGGGGACGAGAGAAAGGAGAGGAGAAATGATAAGTCACAATTCAGTTAAACGGCTCCAGCATGCCGACGTATGATTAAGAGGGTGATGGAACACGCTCTTAAGTACTTTTCACCAACATCCATCACGTTGGATCTTCAGAGAACAAAACCTCCCACATAACGTACTGAAAGGGACAGGAACCATCAGCGGGTATAACCCAGGTTCCAATAACCAGAGAAGGCATGGGAATCATAAACTCATTGAAAGGGGAGATATGGCACAGGGATGGGGAACGTGGGTGGGAGGTGGGACAACAAGGACGCTGAAAACTTTACTGCTCCAGGCGCCATTCGGCGATGACCCCACGGAACCACGATGCTACACTGTAAATCCCACGCTTAATCCTGGTGACTTGGACTGCAGATCGCGTGGCGAGCGTCGTTACCCAGGCTCATGCTCGGCGATGGCGAGGGTACGGACACATCCCCACACACTGGTATCGAGGGAACGACAGCAGGATGAGTTCGGTGCACAAATCAGAGAGGTCGGGTAAGTACTGACGACGAGCAATGTGCACGTGCGATCATCGGTGCGAAGTACGCATAGAACGGATACGACCGCGCGGGAGTAGGGACGCAGCCCGGGCGAGAATCTCAGATAGCATGAGAGACAATCGCTCAAGCCTATGGCCCCACCCAGTACGCGGGTCGTTGGTATCAACAGAAGAGGGAGAAATGACTCGGCAACTCGATATTTAACCAAAGATTAGTGCCCGACCACTTTCGTAATACTCGATGCATTTGGGGCCAGGGAATGATTACCGCCCGGGAATGGGCATATCATCAATTGGTCCTTATCCAGGCAAACTGAAACGGGGGCATTTCCCGGTAAGCTCCCGGTTGGGTGACCTCCAGTGGTACTGGGCCTATACAGGCTCAGGGGTCCAAACACGAAATTCGAAAGAGGGCGCAAACTTCTCAGGTGGGTCTTTTCAAAGTAGGGTCGATAACCCAAGCAAGGTTCATCATAGGTGGACATATTCTCAATGCTCAGAGGGGTATCGTCAGGAATAACAACCGTCAAGACTCCTATTGACATGTAAGAGTGTGTGTGTGTGTGTGTGTGTGTGTGTGTGTGTGTGTGTGTGTGTGTGACCCTCGCCTTCCCCGTTAGGGGTAGCTTGCTAAGGCAGGTAGCAGGTACCTGCCTTAGGCAAGGTACCCGCTAACTACCCCAGAAAGCCCTACCGGTAGGGGCACTTCCAAACACACAGACATATATAACCCTCATACTGAGCAGGGATCAACCCTGCGGTAAACCTAGACGTGACAAGGCAGATTCATAGAGAATTCACCTGGAACCGTTGCCTTGCAGCGTCGACATCCACCCTGGGAGGGAGAAAAAGATGGGGGGAGTTAAGGACACGGTAAACACGATCGATACATCCGTTCATTGTTGACCATGTATGTAACAACCCTAAGGATTTCTTCAGCAGTATTGTGTGGCTTAGTGCACAGCATGAGAACGGAAGCAACCTGGGGTAGGATAATATTCAGAGACTGCTCGATGGGTCTGTTAGAGTTAAATCTAACGTATCTTATCAGAGGGAAGTCCTGCAGCAAACGTTTGTCAAATTTTGTAGTGTAAAAACACCCAGTGGACTCAGAAGAGACTACAATTTCGACGTTCAGAAATTGTGTTTTCATGCCATAGATTTCACCTGAAGGGGCTACTTCAAAAACCTCTGTCTGGTTCTTAATCTCGATGAGGTGCTTGGGATACAGAGAAAATATCCCGGCTCCTCCCTAATTAGACTGACAATTCAAGAATTTTAAGATAAGCAGGTTATTAAGCGAATGCAGATCATCAATATATCTAAACGTGTGCTTGAATAGTGGGAGGAGGAGGGTAGCCTTCTGGTCCACCAATCGCATAATCAGTTCATATTCATATTTAAAAAAATAAATTGTGCACCATACAGGGGAGCACGGGAGGCCCATGGGTATTCCCGACACCTGTTTCCAATAGGACCTGCCAAATGACATGAAACAATGGGAAAGCAACCAATCTGTTAGTACTAGGACATCCTTGCAAGAAAGCCAGAATGAGGTAGATGAGGATGAACTATCCGCCGCTCCCTTCTCAAACTTGCAAAAGAATGATCCGTCCCGTTGCAACTTACACTTCACAGAGCTTCCCTCTTTTTCTGGAGGGTGCCATCTTGAATGCCATCCTAACAAAGAATGAGACAGTTGCTGGGAGGCCATCCTTCGACGAATCCACGGGAATCGTCTCAAAGCACCTAGTGATGTCAGCAGAGAAGACGGAGAACACTTCATTCGGGATGTTGTAACAGTAGTCTTGTACCGAGTCTATTGCCCACCAAATCGAAGTGTCCACCCCATAGAACACCTTCAAACCATTAGTGATCTCCTTGCAGCGAGCCATGAGAAGGGGGCAGAGGCATTTCAACACCGCATCACACAGGCGGGCAACAGGGGTAAGGAAGGAGAACGAGGCATTAGTAAGCCACCGGAACGCCAACTTATGAGGTTTGTACAAGGCCATAAGATACGGGAACTTCCTTGGCCCAGTGGGTAGGGTGGGGAACAACACAGAAAGGGATGACGAAGCTTCATCCAAAATCTCATTTGCTGACAACGAGATCGGTACAAAATCCTTGTTGCTGAGTCGGTCGAAAGCTAGTTTCCTTATAAGGTGTATACACACGAACGCCGGGGTGTTAGCAGATTTGTCTATACCCGCAATGTACAGGCGTTTGGACAGGAAATCTGCCTCATGTCTGACTGCATGGGTGTCCATTAGCTCTGGACGTTCCTGGTGGGCCGTAGTTCCTTTGACACAAACTCAGAGGCCCTAGAAATCATCCCCTTAGTGATAAGCATCCTGTTACTCAAGAATCACACTACCGATCGCCATGCTTGAAAAACTCATGGAAGGCAGCATGGGGGTTATGAGGTCGTAAGGGAATGTGATTCAAACCTAGGGCGATAAACTCAGGCAATTTTGGAAGAGCAGAGATCCCGGGGTACAAGGAAAGGATGTGGGAGGAGGGTAAGGAGAAGGGTTGGGTCATATCACGCGTGCAGGGGTGGTGAAAGGGTAGAAATCGTGTAGTAGCACACGGACATGAGGGAACTCCATTCATCCAAATTGTAATCACAAAACACAGAAGTTGGTCTGTACAACAAGTTTTCCAAAGAGCACAAATACGTCCAACCGATGACTACTAGAGAAAGCAAACCACTAGCTCCGTGAGGAAAGAAAAGATTCGTTGCTCGTTCAAGGATAGATCTGAAATGGACAGTGTCCATGATCTTGCTTGTGTACAGCACGTGCACAAAACACACCTTCTTGTCCTCTGGAAGCTTCTTCCACTTAACACGGCCAGAGGGGTCACGAGTCATGATCCCCTTCTCCTCCACTTCACTATTCTGCACACATCATAACATGCATACATCAACGAGTGATTAGGTTTTAAAGAGAGAGATCCTCGAGAGACCAAGGGCCCTCGGACTTCTCCTCAATGGTCTGCTGGACGCCGAGGCTAGCCCATCATCTTGGATAGTGATGGAAGAGGATGCAGGGGTACTCAAATCCGCCCTTGGGGGCAGGTCCTCCGCTGACGTCTGGTTGTTATTCTATCCCGGGGGAACGTAGAACTCCAGAATGGACTGGCTGGGTCCTCCTTGCTTTCTTCGCCACCGACGTGGTCACCACCTCCTTCCTCTGTTTCTCGGCATTGCGTACATACCGGGCAGGAAGGATGAGTCTCGCCATGGTCTTGGGGAACTTGTGGAGCATAATCGCCGGGTCGTCCAGGATATTCTGCACAGTCCTGGATGGGTCCACGACAACGCTGTACGCCATCTTTACCATAATATCCCTCATATGTGAGAGCACCACCGAGGCGAGGATAGCGGCTCTCCAGGTAGTCTTAGCCTTAAGTCTAAGAGCCCTGGCACGGACCCTCAGAGAAGGGGCTTCAGGAAACAGGTAAAGCAGGTTGGAAAGGAGGTACCACAGTACATGATCAAACCAAGAAATGTTCTTACCACAATCTCTCTTTCCTTCGGCAACACACTGACACTTCAGATATGGATGTCCTACATTCAAAATTCATTTAAGTTTCGCCATAGCAGACTGCTGCTTCGGAGCCAAGAACCCATGAATCGCGAAAGCAAAAGCAGAGACACAGCACTTTGAACGGTCAAAATCACCAACTAAGGGAGTTTCATGTTGGCTGGAGTGAGCGAGTATTCACCCCTGATCAAATCCGTATTCTCAGTGAGCACTTTGTCACGCATTTCTTCATTTCCTCCTCGGTGAGTGACGCCAAGAATCTGTACGAGTCTGCGTGGATGGGAGCAAGGTAATTGAAGGTATACAAGTCCTATAATTTGTCCTCGACGGTCCTAGACTGAGACTCTATCCATCTCGGTGGTGCGATGGGAAGGAGTGCATTCCGGACGTACTTGTTAACACTAGGTTTCTGGTTGGCTGCTACCACCTTCATCTTCTCCTTTCTACCTTCGGCAAGCATCCTCGCATAGTACGCCTTCTCGTCCGCCGTAAGAGGGAGTGCATCATCATCCTCACCCCCCTCCTCCTCCTCCGACTCCCCTTCATCCTCTTCGAGGTCCGGATCCTTCCGAACCAAGCCAGCGTGGAAGTTAGACTCTGCGCCGAAGAGATCCACGAAAATCTTCTCCTTCATCGCTATGTTCGAATCAATGCATACCGACACCAATTCATCCTCTTCCACAATCTCTTTCGATTGAGTTACTAAATACTTGGTTAATTTGAGGAACACTGGCTTATCGTTGGAAGCAGACCATAGAAGATCCGACCACAAATCAAAGAAAAAAATCGTGATTAACGGAAGAGAAATACCAATCGAGTGCAACCGGACAAACTCCAAAATCTTGGGGGGTGTAAGACAGATGAGTGCTTCCGTAGGTCGAGCTGGTGCAGGAAATGCGCCCAACCATCCCGATTCAGATAGTAGATCAAAGTACCACCCATTCTCCGAAAATGACGGAACCTGTTCACAAATAAGGCAATACGTGTAGTGAGGACGTTGGGTTCCATTCGCTGAGAACAGTAAAACGTCATTGAGGAGAGTTTTTAGCCTTTGAGGAACGCCTTTTCTTTTCAAGCAGCATTCATCAAGGACCCAAGCACAAACTCTCGTAGATGTCAGAACGTGCGAAATGAACAATAACATGAAGACAGGGATTCTGACCCCATCAATAGCAAAAGAGAGACCGATTCTCAATGTGTGTGTGTTACCTTTTTATTGCGTGGCTCCTGCGACAAAGTCGCACAACATCACAAGGAGAGCTTATACCGTTTCCAAAAATGCAAAGTACAAAAGGCAGATAGCGAAAAAGCCAAAGGTCAACATTCGATCCTTAGATACGTTCATAGACTCAGGACGAATAGTTCACAAAGCATCATGCTACATACTCATGCCTAACACAACCATAAATGGGAAGTAACCGTGTAGACTTGCATACGGATCTTTATCAAGGAGATCCAATCAGCGCATCACACAAACTCAAAAACCATGTCTCCGTGATAACAATGAAAACATGAGGGACTCATAATACGAAGAGATGGAAGGAAACTCAATGCTCAGCCTGTCAAAACTCATAGTCGAACCGTTCTCGTACTTGCAAAAACAACCCACAAACCTTTCACAGACAAATAGATGCGAAGGTGTTCATTACTCATCAGCACCATGTAAACATCCAACCCGTCGAAGCGTATACACGGCAGATCCATACATGTCCTCGTGCCAAAAAGATACTATGGTTACTCAGCATGCTACTCGACTCCTCATTGGGTATCTTTAAGCATGAGATGCACTTAGATCGAATTAATGACCTGTAGGAGCCTGAGATACCAAACCTTCTCAAGCCGAGACACAGCAGGGGCCCGACCCATCACCCTGCGAAAGACACCCCATGTCCCCACACTACCCCGTACAATCCAACCCCCGTACACCCTCACCTACCCAACTCCGTAATGCACACAGATGCCCAACGTACCCCCCTCATCCGAACTCGCATTCCTTCATTGGTTCAAAGCAGATCCTACTATGACTAAAACTCATCACCCGTACCGCAGCTACGACAGTCATCAAAGGCATGGTCCGAGAAGAATCCATAACACGGATGAAGACTTAACAACAAATACCATCCGCTGCCCAGTACCCATCCGATTAAGAACCTCGCCAAGGGAGGAGCAACGCAATCATGAAGAGGAAGATCCCGTGGAGCCAAAGCCACACAACCGTCGTAACCACACTAATGGTGCATGAAGCAGGGAGAGAAGAAAGAACCGCCGGGCAGCTACTGGTCTGTTGGGGGCATGCTGACCAGATTGCAAAACGAAACATGCAAGTGGAAGTGGTAGAGAAGAGTGTGGAGATCAGGAGGTGGGCGCACATGAAACCGGATGGTGAAAGAGAATGACGCGATGGAACAGCCATGGTGCCCATTACGCGGATCGCTCCTGCCTTAAGGAAATGTTAAACCACCACTCCCTGTCCCTCCAGATCACTCCACATTGTTCAAACTCAAAGAATCGAAACCCTAATGCACTAAGGCGCCATAGGATAATCTTTACTAATAGCTCCGGGGATCGAACACTACGCTTTGCACCATCTGGTCTGCAAGAATGCAGTAGTCAGATTCCGGCATTCGGTGAGGCATCGTGACGATCGGAACGTCTGGTGGTCTAGAAACGACAAGAAGGCAAGGTACGCCAAAAAAGCCAATACAAAGATAAACGTTATGTGAACCGCGTGCAAAAGCTCCATCTTGACAAATACCCACGATCTTGCCGCTTGAACTCCAATGGTGAAGCATATAAAAGAGCCTACAACAGGTAATCAATAACAAATCACAACAAAAACCAACCGAGAGACAATTGAAGAAACATAACAAGGACACAAATAGCGGTGAGTATCCACACTGTATCATTCCGTAGGGAAAAAGCATAAGTGGAGTAAAAAATAAGGTATGGGGACGAGAGAAAGGAGAGGAGAAATGATAAGTCCCAATTCAGTTAAACGGCTCCAGCATGCCGACGTATGATTAAGAGGGCGATGGAACACGCTCTTAAGTACTTTTCACCAACATTCATCACGTTGGATCTTCAGAGAACAAAACCTCCCACATAACGTACTGAAAGGGACAGGAACCATCAGCGGGTATAACCCAGGTTCCAATAACCAGAGAAGGCATGGGAATCGTAAGCTCATTTAAAGGGGAGATATGGCACAGGGATGGGGGACGGGGGTGGGAGGTGGGACAACAAGGACGCTGAAAACTTTACTGCTCCAGGCGCCGTTCGGCGATGACCCCAGAGAACCACGATGCTACACAGTAAATCCCACACTTAATCCTGGTGACCGGGACTGCAGATCCCGTGGCGAGCGTCGTTACCGAGGCTTATGCTCGGCGATGGCGAGGGTACAGACACATCCCCACACACTGGTATCGAGGGAACGACAGCAGGATGAGGTCCGTGCACAAATCAGGGAGGTCGGGTAAGTACCGACGACGAGCAATGTGCACGTGCGATCTTCGGTGCGAAGTACGCATAGGACGGATACAACCGCGCGGGAGTAGGGACGCAGCCCGGGCAAGAATCACACATAGCATGAGAGACAACCGCTGAAGCCTACGGCCCCACCCAGTACGCGGGTCGTTGGTATCAACAGAAGAGGGAGAAATGACTCGGCGACTCGATATTTAACCAAAGTTTAGTGCCCGACCACTTTCGTAATACTCGATGCATTTGGGGCCAGGGAATGATTACCGCCAGAGAATGGGCATATCATTAATTGGTCCTCATCCAGGCAAACCGAAACGGGGGCATTTCCCGGTAAGCTCCCGGTCGGGTGACCTCCAATGGTACTGGGCCTATACAGGCGCAAGGGTCCAAACACGAAATTCGAAACAGGGCGCAAACTTCTCAGGTGGGCCTTTTCAAAGTAGGGTCGATAACCCAAGCAAGGTTCATCATAGGTGGACATATCCTCAATGCTAAGAGGGGTATTATCAGGAATAACAACCGTCAAGACTCCTATTGACATGTAAGAGTGTGTGTGTGTGTGTGTGTGTACGTGTGCGGCCCCTCCCCCACCAATCAATCAATCAATCAATCAATCAATCAATCAATCAACCAATCAATAAATCAATCAATCAAAAAACAATTAGTCAATCAATATAAACCACTCCCCCGAAAATTATTTTTCTTTTCTTTGTTCAAGGGGGTAGGGTTGGGGTTCTGGAACCCCAATCCGCAACCCCCACCCCCAACCCCCTCTCCCCTCGGCAGCGGCGGGCCACGATAGACCGACGCGGGGGATTCATAGAGCAGGACTACTCGTCCCGGACATCCTGGCCTAGAAAATAGGAGATATTAGTACTTGGTTGCACCCTAAGGACAGAGACTTGGAACCTGCTATGGAAAGGAGCAACATTGGTCATATCCACTCGTGCCAACATGAACCCGTAACTCCAGGGCAATCTCTTTCTCTCTCTTTCATTGACTCACCGTGCGGGCACGGGTGCGCAGCCCGTAGTTCGTTTGTTTATGAGGTTCGGGAAGGGTAAGGTAGTGATTATGTTGTATGTATGTTTTGTCATGTTCACTTTACACAACTCGAAGAGTGTGTGTGTGTGGGGTCCCGGTTGGTGCTTTATTCACAATGTTCATGGGACGCTGGACCCAGTTTCCAGCAGGTGGCACTTCCCATCAATAGACACGAGAATGTATGTG